CACAGTACCCCCATAAGAGGCTGGTGCATAAGCTGGAGAAGTAGGCTAGAGTGATTGGTAGGGTGCTCCAGTGGATCATAAACAACCGGAAGCAGCGAGTTACTGCGAGGGGGGAGACAGAATGGCTCTTGTCGCCTGGGTTGTCCCACAGGATTCTGTACTCGGACCTATCCTGTTTTTCGTATACGTAAATGATCATCAAAAGGATATAGACTCATTCTTCTCGACGTTTCTCGATGATGCCAAAATTATGAGAAGGATTAAATCAGAGAACAGCATGAAACTACAGGATGACCTGGCCAAACTGAAGGAATGACCAAACAAATGGCTATTAGAGTTTAACTCGAGCAAATGTAATGTAATGAAGATAGGTGTAGGGATAAAGGGGCCAGATGCAAAGTAACATTTTGAAGCTTAAATCATCCAAGAATCAGGAAAAAAGACTTGGGGGTTAATATCACGCTAGACCTGTCCCCTTGAAGCCCACATAACGAGGATATCATCAGTGGCATATGCCGGCCAATATAGGAACTGCTTTTAGAAACTTGTGTAAAGAATCATTTAGAACCTTATATACCACGTATATCAGACCAATCCTGGAATGTACAGCTCCAGCGTGGAGTTCGTATCACGTCAAGCCCAACACTATATTGGAGAAGGTTCAAAGGTATGCCAGCAGACTAGTACCCGAGCTGAAGGGTATGAGCTACGAGGAACTGAACCTCACGTCGCTGGAAGAAGGAAAAGTTATGGGAGGGATGATCACCACATACAAGATTCTCAGAGGAGTGGATCGAGTACATGAAGACAGTTTATTTAACATGAGCGGTACTCGCACATGGGGACACAGGTGAAAATTGAGTACCCAGATGAGCCATAGAGACATTAAGAACTTTTTAGTGTCAAGAGTATTTACCAAATATAATGCACTAGGCAATGATGTGGAGGAGGTGGACTAAATACAGTTTCAAATGTAAATATGATACTGAGCCCAATAAGCTCAGGAACTTGCAGGCCAATTGATTGACGGTTGAGAGGCGGTAACAAAGAGCTGAAGTTCAACACCCGCCAGCCACAATTAGGCGAGTACAATTAGATGGTAATTGCAAAGCTGCAGGTAGCTCATGCCTGCAGGTCTGAAGAGTTTAATGACTCGACGTTCAGTAATGGAGTGTGTGTGAAATCCTCATCTTGCTGGCACCAGGAGTGCTCAGGACTGGCACACTCCTCAACCAGTGATTAGAAATAACTATCATTTTTTTCTTTTAGCCGTCTTTCTATTCCTAGGTGAGACAATAGATTGATGTTACACACAAGAAGAAATGCCCGAGGTAAGTTGGCAATACTTGCAACTGAATCTTTACCCTCTCTTTCTCTCTCTCTCTCTCTCTATTTCTCTCTCTCTCTCTCTCTCCCTCTCTCTCTCTCTCTCTCTCTCTCTCTCTCTCTCTCTCTCTCTCTCTCTCTCTCTCTCCCCTTTATTCCTCTCCCCATAACCCTCATTAAGAGAAGTGGTGGCATATGAGGAGAAAAGAACTGTCACAACGACTCACTGGATGATATTCAGTGGGAGTGTCTGAAGAGTGAGCGCGGGGGGGGGGCTATGAGGAGAAGATCGCTCGGGATTTAGCGAGAGAATGTTTTAAGGCACTTTTTTTCAAGAGTACTTCGGAGTCCTTTGGAATCAATCGAGTGGCTTCCCAAGAGCGGTGTCGATAAGTTGTTCTAAGCGTGGCCAGGCTTTCAGAACATCATCATCACACACATATGCAGGAGTTCTGCCTGTTGTTGATGAACACTGATGAACACCAGCACGCCTGTGAGCCCTGGCCACCCCTCACTCCCAGCGGCCCCTTGTATGGCCCCAATTACTACGGTCCTCCTTGGTAATCATCATCATCTTCTCTTCCTCCTTCTCCTCTTTAATATTACAATTATTGAGAAACTCCACCTTGGGCTGTGATGTGGGCCCGAACCATCGACCCCGGCATTTGGGTTCGCACCTACCTCACAGCCCTAGTGGATTTTATCATTGATATGTATCACATTAATGTGGGATTACAATTATATATAGTGGGATGTTCCTTGTTATTAGCTATTGTGGGAGTTTTATGCACAAACTGTTGTGGAAGTTATATATCACCGGCTGTTGTGGCAACTTCATGGCATTGCAGTATGGCAAATATAGCTACAGAAAGTGGACTAAATTTTGACCAGTTTCGTCTTGTGCTTGACAAAGTCCGCGCTCCATGCTGGGGCCGCATACTCCAGAATTGGTCTTATATATGCGGTATACAAGGTTCTGAATGATTCTTTACACAGGTTCCTGAAGGCTGTTTTGATGTTAGCCAGCCTCGAGGCTGATGTTAACATCAGCCTCGCAGATGTTATTCTTTTGATGTGAGCTTCAGGAGACAGGTTTGGCGTCATATCAACTCCTAGATCTTTCTCTCTGTCCGTTTCGTGAAGGACTTCATCTCCCATTCTGTATCCTGTGTCT